CGTATATATATATATATATATATATATATATATATATATATATATATATATATATATATATATATATATATTCTAGAGTACACGTTCAAACTGTAGTTAGTCAGAAATTCCTCATCAATGAGTAATAAATGGTCAAGAAATTTGCGTTACCGTTCGAGCATTCAATTCATGCATCCGAAAGAACAGGAGATTGCCATAGAACTAGGAAATTTTACTGCGTCGCTTGCCGCGCCTTCGGATATGGGTGAGGATTAGAGATTCTCGTCCGATATAGCGAAGGACCGTCACGCGCCGTGGCTCATTAAGGTTCCTACTGCGATAGAGACGACTATTTCACGAATGTCTTCCTCCGTGATACAGCAAGCAAAAGACGACAAACAAAGAAAGAAAGAAAAGAAGGGAAAAGGGAAAAAGGAAAGGAAGCCATTCATCGAAAGGGAGGGTGAATAGTTAATCAAGGAAGTTGTGTTATCGTTACAATTTTTAACGATGCATGCGAGATATCATAAGACTACTGACTAATCAGGGAATTTTCGCTACGTCACTTTGCGTGCCTTCGGAAACGAGGATTGGAGCATTCATCGTTGCGAAGGACCGTCTCGTGATGCGGCTTATTACTAACAAAGGGTTCCTATTGCGACAGAGAATCCTACGATGTCCATTTCACAAATGGAAACGGCAAGTAAAAGAGGGAAAAAAAGAGAGAGAAAAAAGAAGAGAAGAGAAGGAAAGGAGGGGAAATAAAGAAAAAGAAAAGAAAAGAAAAGAAAAAAGGAAGAAAAAAAAAGAAAAAGAAAAGGAAAAGAAAAGAAAGGAAAGAAAAGAAAAGAAAAGAAAAGAAAGGAAAGGAAAGAAAAGAGAGGTTATTTGTCGAAAAGAAAGGTGAGCAGTTTTTACAACGGTTTTTCCCAGCACACATGCTTGTTACGTAGACTAATCAATATAAACTTGCTGGAGTCATATAATAAGAAGAAGAAAAAGGTGTCTTTCAAAATGACAAATAATCAGCAGATTATGTCACGTGCCATGCCTTCGAACGGGACTGAAAGATATCGATCCTCTACTTACGAAGAACCGTTATGTGTCGTAACCAAACAAGGACACTAGGTCTTGAACAAACTTTTTCGTACGATTTTCTAGAAGGATCACCCACATGCATTCCCATGATGAAAGAGGCATTGCGTAAAAAACAAGCGGGATAACCATTTCAATTGAAAAAGAAAGCTTCAACACGGAGATGAAACAATTATTATAAAGTCAATCGTTCAAAGCACCAATGTTTCTCAGCAAAGAGCAGCGGGCGAGGGTAAGGTGATTGTGAATGATCTGGGTAGGAGGGGAAGTGGAGGAAAAAGAAGAAGAAGAACCCGCATCAAGCTTCTAACTGGACAGATCGTCGCATCTGTGCGCTGCGTCCGCTGACCGACTCGGGGGAGGGAGTGGCTTATCCCTGAGGCCTTTCTGCTACAGCCACAATGCAACGTCGTCAGAGGGCAGTAGTCTTCTTTGGTCTGAGAAGATTCATGAAATAAAGACGATACATAGAGTGAAGAGGATGGCGGTGAGGACGGTGATTGCAAGAGAGAGGGGAAGAGAGAGGGAGAGAGAGGGT